ATGAAGATGCTTGACCAAGACTCATCTCATGTCAACAGCCAAAAAATAAGAGGGCACAGGCAAGCTCAACCCAAATGTTTTACTGTCGGCTTACCTTCCAGCTTCCGCTCTGGCCACTTCCCAGGTGCAGCTTTCCACACCACACTCCACCTGGCTCCCAGGTAGACTTCTTGGGCCTTTTTGTGCTTCTCAGTACCTGGCACACAGCAGAGAGCTCTTGGTGACCTCCAGAAGCCCTGGTGACCACGGAGTCTCTTTGACGGAGAAGCCTACCTAGAGCTCCCAGTTGAGCTAACTCCCGGTGTACCTCGTTCCTCTCCAGGTCTCCGTTCTAACGATGGTGCAGGTTTCAAGCATCTTCGAGTTCCTGACACCTAGCACATGGCAGGTGCTCATTGAAGACTTCCCAGTGCTACATACGTGCACACACACACACAAACACGCATACAAATATATCCATGTGTCTCATTTAGAGAAGAGATTGCCCTTGACACCTCTGTGCAGTCAAGGGTGACCTTGAACTCCTGACCCTTGTCAGGCCTCAAACCAGGGACAAATGGCTGAGTGTCTATTTAGTTCTTCCTGTATAATCTAGTCATCTGGGTGAAAGGTTCAGGCATTATGCTGGCCTGCCCCTGTTACCTGGTGGAATCCACTCAGGCAGAACCCTGGTCAGCCCAAGGTTCCATGGGAACTAAGTCTGCACGCAGGTGCAGAGGACCCCTTTAAAAGATAGGCCCCTGCCCATTTACGCTCTCTGTTCCTGCTCTCTGTGCTCTCTCTGTTTATCTCTCTGCTCCCCCGCTCTGTTTCCTCTCAGCTTCCTTTCTACTCTCTCTCTCTCACCTATGTGCTCTCTCTATGGCGACCGGCCATGTCAGTCAGCCAATTACCCCTGTTCCTCTTCTTAGTCTCCCCATTCTGCCGGGCCTTATAATAAACTTATAGTCTTATGTCTGTCTCAGCATTTCTCTTTTCTTCTTTTTAAACAAAAGAATAACACTGGGTACACCAGTCCTTTTATCCTTTGGAAATCCTCATCTTTGGGCTCTCCCCTCCTGCTCTCCTCACATGGCCTGGCCCAGTCGGGCCATGTTCACTCTGGACTCTCACTTTTATTTACAATCAACCGTCTCCTCACCATACCTAGAGCAGTCATGTCTTTCCTTTTCTATCCTTTTCCCCTTCATGTCTGATTTCACCTCCCAAAAGCTGGGATTACAGATTGTGCCACCACACTTGGTTAAGGCTCAGACATTTGCAGAGTCAAACTCTGGGTTTTTTGTTTTGTTTTGTTTCCTCTCAAAAGTTAAAACCACGGGGGGGGGGGGGGGGGGGGTAGGAAACTGGGGTTGTCTTGGGCTTCTGGGCAAATACAATCTCTACCTGAACTTGGTCCCTCAAGGCAACAGAGACAATCTTCATACCTCATTAGAAAAATGAGCTCCCATGCATGACCCAGTGTGCCAGGAGCCTAGAAATCAAGTGTACATGAACAGCTCCTGCCAACTGGCCCAGAGGAGTTAAGCCATTTTCTTTGGGGCCACTCAGACAAGGCAAGGATGGTGCACACCTCTGCTTCTTTCCTGTGGGATTTGGGTTGTTGGCCTGGAACTGTGTGTCTGCAGCTGCTGGGCTGCAAGCACGCACCACTCTGCTGTTTTCCAGGCATCACAGGAACTGTCCTTACATGCTAATATGGTTCCATGGGTATTGCCCTGAGCCTGGCAGCTTAGAAGTAGAGAGACAGCAACTGTCTCAATGACAGGGACGAACGAAGGCCATGTCTGGCTAACTCAAACTCTCAAATACAATGGGGCCAACTACTGGACAATCTCTACAGCTCAGGACAATATTTGCAGGCACCACCCAGGGCCCAGGCCCCTGATGAGCACACCTCGGAAGAGAAACCTTTTTTGTGAGGGAAGCTAGACCATGCGTCATCACGCTTGGCCACTCAAGTCGCCTGAGAAGTCCCACTGAGCAAGGGTGCCCTTCCCCAGCAGGGGCAGAAAGTTAGTCATTGCTCAGTGACTTATGCCCAACTCAAAGTCCTACAAGATGTATTAGAACAAGGTGAAATGGATCACCAGCCCACAGTGACAGACACACACCTAAAAGCCGGCCCTGAGAACCCCAGAGCAGCATTTAAGACCTCAGGTGACCTCCCCACGAACCCTGCAGCCAGCCTCTGAAACCGTGCTACCTGCCCATAGCTCTCTTGCAGATATTTTTTTCTCATTTCTTTTTTTCAGGAAATTAGCCATTCACATTTCTAGGGTTTGGCTGGTTCTTCCTACGATGCATTCTGGCTGGGCAAGAGTTCTGTTTTCTTTCCTAAGATTTATTTATTTTATGTATGAGTGTTCTGATTATATATCTTCATGCCAGAAGAGGGCGCCAGATCTCATTATAGACAGCGTAGGAAACTGGGGTTGTCTTGGGCTTCTGGGCAAATACAATCTCTACCTGAACTTGGTCCCTCAAGGCAACAGAGACAATCTTCATACCTCATTAGAAAAATGAGCTCCCATGCATGACCCAGTGTGCCAGGAGCCTAGAAATCAAGTGTACATGAACAGCCCCTGCCAACTGGCCCAGAGGAGTTAAGCCATTTTCTTTGGGGCCACTCAGACAAGGCAAGGATGGTGCACACCTCTGCTTCTTTCCTGTGGGATTTGGGTTGTTGGCCTGGAACTGTGTGTCTGCAGCTGCTGGGCTGCAAGCACGCACCACTCTGCTGTTTTCCAGGCATCACAGGAACTGTCCTTACATGCTAATATGGTTCCATGGGTATTGCCCTGAGCCTGGCAGCTTAGAAGTAGAGAGACAGCAACTGTCTCAATGACAGGGACGAACGAAGGCCATGTCTGGCTAACTCAAACTCTCAAATACAATGGGGCCAACTACTGGACAATCTCTACAGCTCAGGACAATATTTGCAGGCACCACCCAGGGCCCAGGCCCCTGATGAGCACACCTCGGAAGAGAAACCTTTTTTGTGAGGGAAGCTAGACCATGCGTCATCACGCTTGGCCACTCAAGTCGCCTGAGAAGTCCCACTGAGCAAGGGTGCCCTTCCCCAGCAGGGGCAGAAAGTTAGTCATTGCTCAGTGACTTATGCCCAACTCAAAGTCCTACAAGATGTATTAGAACAAGGTGAAATGGATCACCAGCCCACAGTGACAGACACACACCTAAAAGCCGGCCCTGAGAACCCCAGAGCAGCATTTAAGACCTCAGGTGACCTCCCCACGAACCCTGCAGCCAGCCTCTGAAACCGTGCTACCTGCCCATAGCTCTCTTGCAGATATTTTTTTCTCATTTCTTTTTTTCAGGAAATTAGCCATTCACATTTCTAGGGTTTGGCTGGTTCTGGCTGGGCAAGAGTTCTGTTTTCTTTCCTAAGATTTATTTATTTTATGTATGAGTGTTCTGATTATATATCTTCATGCCAGAAGAGGGCGCCAGATCTCATTATAGACAGCTGTGAGCCACCATGTGATTGCTGGGAATTGAACTCAGGTCCTCTGGAAGAGCAGCCAGTGCTCTTAATCCCTAAGCCATCTCTCTAGCACGCCTGCTAACTACTCTACACAGGTGTATTTTGTCATCTTACCTATAAGCCCGGGAGAGTGGGGCACACGGCTCTTGCTTATGTCACATCTCCCTGGAGTCCAACATATGCTGGGTACAAAACAGGCATCTCAATACATAGTGTGTATATCAAATTGGAAGGCATCTCAATACATAGTGTGTATATCAAATTGGAAGGTATATCAAATCCCAGCATTAGGAGGGCGACCACACGCCAAGGCTATGTATTAAGTTCCTAAAAAGTCTGGTTTGGAGTAAGATCTTATCTCAAATAAAACCAAAACCTAAAACCAGAGCTGGAGAGAAGGCTCAGTCGTTTACAGCATCTATTCTTGTAGAGGACCTAGGTTTGATTCCCAGCACACATATGGCCACTCACAACCATCTGTTCTGGCTTCCGTTATTACTGCATCCATGCAGTGCATGGTCACACACAGGCAAAACATCCACACATACACAGTAATCTCAAAAAGATAACAATAAAAAGTCCCCAAACAAATGAGGCTTTAGGGACTCTGACAACACTTGTCTCTGCCTTTGGGATTGGATTTTGACATATTTATGTCACAAAGTTCTTCCGATATTAGGAATGTAATTTGAAGAAAATTCTCAGGACCAAGAACAGACTCAGCAGCAGCCCCATTGCCCATTCAGGACCCTGTCCTGAACTGCTATGTGACATCACTTGGTCTTGGGACGGAGAAGGCAAAGGTGTTTCACATTTGTGACCTGAAATCTGAGAAAGAGAAAGGAATGAGGCGTGGCAAAGAAAACCACAGCAGAACATTTGGGACTGATTTTATTAGGGCATCTCACAGTGGTTAGAGCCACTCTGTCTTCAGAACGGTCACAGCACAGGGTGTGTGTCACCCAGCGTCACCCAGCCTGCCCAGGGACACTGAGCAGCGGACTCTTATTGCTTAAGATACACATATTCACAATAACTGACGGACGCTGACGTGCCTCACACAGGAATGTGTTAGCGGCTGCAAAGCTGACTGTAGCACCAAGCCCTCTGCCTACCCCCTCCTCCCATTTGCCTGGAAACCCAACTCAGCCAAGTCTCCCTGGCCCCTAACTCCCATTTCCTGTGCCCTTTCCGAGTTGTCTGGGATTTTAACAAGAAGAAAGTGGGAAAGGTGTGTGAGGGCTACAGCTCCGCCCCCTGGCCACACACCATCCCGCTAGACCGCTAGACCTCGGCAGAGGGGGAGCATGCTTGTGGCATCAAGGTGTCGGCCAGACACTCCTGGTGTTCCTGGGCAGGTCGATGTCTGAGCCACAACCAGTCCAAGCTTGTCACTCAAGACTCAATCAAGCTTCTGTCTGAACACAGCAGAGGGAGAGAGACCGGTTCAGAATGTTTCCACGTCCAGGGGACAGAATGCAGGCCTGAGTGTCCGTGGGGCAATGTGCAAATCGCAGTGATGAGCTGAGAAAGGTCCTCTCCCTGGAGGGCAGTGTCACCCGGGCACAGTCAGACATTTGTTCGGTAAACAGTAAATGCGTAAAATAAATTACCTTGAGAGGGCCACATGTGCTCCAAACATGGGGTTAACGTGAGCAGAATGGTCATTCAAAGTATCTTCACAGGAACACGGGGCTTGGGGACACACACACTCACACACACACACACACACACACACACACACACACACACACACACACCATCCAACATCACTGTGTAGACTTCACTTTTGTTCGACAAGGATTTTGGTTTGTGGCATCCAAACGCAGACACACATTACCTCCCAGCCTCAGATTTGTTTGTGTGTTTACATTTGGACTTTCTTTTCTTCCTCTTTCCTTTTCTCACTAGAACGGCAGTACCCAGTCTATGTATCATCGTTCAAGAGCAGGAAGAGAACCAATCTCTTAGTATGAACGGGGCTGGGTGGGGAATGTTCACTTCGGCTGCTTCTATGCTCCTTTTTCCTACCAAAGCACGGCTGGGCCTCTAGAGCCTGAGGACAGGAACACAGGCTGTCCAGGAGGCTCGGGGCAGAGGCAGCCACGAGAACCACAGATAACCAAGGTGTTCTTCCAAGTGGTCAGTTTAAAACAAACAAACACACAAACAACAGACTTGGATAACTCAAGAGAAAATACTGTGTGAGGGCCAGGCTATGAGGCTGCCTTGCCCAGGACACACAGCTTCCTCAGTCCAGAGGAAGGGTAGAGACTGCAGACTGTGTTCAGGATGGCCAGGGACCACTGGTTCCCTGTGGGCATAGGCAGGGGGGAGGGTGCCACACCTCTACCAGACGTCAGACTTAGGCCTTCACCCACAAAAGGCCCAGGACTACCACACTCTCCTCCCGGCCCAACAGTAGCCAGACTCTTGGAAACTCAGGGAGAGCTCCAGAATCCCTTTGTCCAAAAGAGGGTTCTTGCCTGCCCACTGACACCTTTCCAGCTAGCCTTCGTTATTTGATTTTCAAGGAAAACACAAAGAACACAGTGTAAGCGCCTACACCTGAACCAGGCGAAAGGCCGCCAAAGCCTGCCGGGAAGGGCCCCCTCTCCAATGCACAGAGGTGAACTCTCCACCCGGGGCTTGCCAGACCAACCAGCTTCCTCACCAACCTGTGTACCTGCTCTCACCCTCCCACAGGATTAGACCAATACCAGCTCTGCAGGCACTGGCAGCCGCCAGTGACAGCCACAGGTGACAGCCACAGGCCCCTGAGGGTTTCCTTCTTCACTCGGGGCCAAGATAAACTGTCTCTCCCAGACTGAGACACAGCGAAGTTCTCTTACAAATCCACTCTGACACCAAGAGCCATCTTGGAACCCAGTCCCAGCCCCGGTCCTGGGGGCTTTCCAGACATGTGTTTCTCAGCCAAGCAGGTAGGCGAGACACAGCTCTGAAAAGGGAGGTGGGGGTGCAGAATGAGTCCCAGAACCAGAGTCTCCGTCTTCTACAACACTGTGCTTTTGTGGGGGAGGAGGCATCCACACCCCAAACTTGTACCTGGAGATGTGGGAAGAGCGGGACAGGAGGGAAACAAATAAAAGCCAAAGTGGTTGTGCCACTTCTGAAGTCACTTAATGCTTCTCTTGTGGGTGTCTCCTACCCTGGCTGTCTGTCAAGCTCTCGGTTACAGGCAGGACCTGTTCTAGCTGGGGGAGCTGCTGCGCTGTGAGTTTGGCGGGTCCTGTTCATTGATGGTGTTCAGCAGCAGGCAGGCAGGTGGCCGTGGCAGGTGGGGGTGTCCCAGCTCTCGAGCCTGCTCTTCAGATGACAGGCAGAGCCCTTCCTCTTCGTCAACAGGAGGCCGTACGTGACAACTGTCACAGAAGTCCAGGGGTCCATCCAGGGCATCATCTATGAGTGTATTGAACTCTTTGAGACCATCATCGTGGTGGCCCCGGTTGCACACACACACCTCAATGCCCGAGTCACCTGTGAAGCGGCGATGTCTGCCAGGTGTCTTGTCTTTGCTGTCAGGGGGTACACCACCATGCTCCAGACTTGAGTCTTTCAGTAGCTCTTCCTTACACTCTGAATCCCTGTTCAGGAAGGCCCCCGGGGCCAGCTCCCCGTGGCTGGCCACTGAGCCACTGGACTCCATTCCAGGGGCCTTGGTGGCTGCCCGGTCAGCGGGCACTTCAGAGGGCTGAGGGTCGGTGACACTTGGGGGTCTTGTGCTGCTTCTACTGGATCCAGACAAAGGACTGCTCTGTGCTCCCTGGGAGCCCTGGGGCGGGTCAGCGCCTGGGGGCGTGCCACCTGCAGGGCCACCCTGAGGAGGCAGCAGCTGCTGCTGTTGTAGCTGGAAGGCACTGTACGGTGGGGGAGGAGTTGGAGGTCTGTTCACCACTTCCTCATAAGGAGGTAGTAAATAGTTTGGCAAAAACCCTAAAACAGGGAGGTAGGGAGGAGAAGTTACTGCACTGGCCAGCACCCTAGCAAAGCTCACACTAAACATAATATTGTCCCTTCTGACCTCTGAAGCAGGGTCATCAAGCAGTGGCTGTCAGGGCAGGGGACTGCAGCTGCCTAGAGCAGTGGTTCTTAACCCTCCTAATTTTGCGACCCTTTAGTAGTTTCTCATGCTGTGGTCACCCCCAACCATGAATTATTTTTGCTGCTACTTCACAAGTATAAATTTGCTACTGTTGTGAATTGTCAGCTAAATATCTGTTATATAGGGCATCTGATGAGTGATGCCTATGCAAGGGTCGTTGGAAAATGGGTCGCACCCTACTAGAGGACAACAATGGGGATGGGACCTGATGGTGTTTCCCGAGAACCCCTGATGCGGCTGCCAGCGCAACCTTCCTGGGGTTAAGGGACAAGGGAGGCAGGTGTGGTGAGCTGGCTAGGAGACAAATTCTTCCTAGAAAGGACCTGTTTCCCAGGGCACACAAGCCCCACGCTTCTTTCTTTTAAAAAGATTCTAATTTTTAGTTTTATGTGGGGGTGTATACACTTAAGTGCAATGCCTAAGGCTGCCAGAAGAGGGCGTTTGATGGCCTGAACCTGACTGTGATCCACCGTGGGGGAACTAACACTGGGGTCATCAGCAGATTGGTATGTGCTCTCTCTTAACCACTGAGCTGTCTCTCCAGCGCGGGCCCACATTTCTTGCTCAGATTATAACTTCCATCTGTCCAAGCACTGTGGACCACACACTTTTCCCCTACCCCTTCAGGTATCTCCTGTATAGGGACTCTTTCCTGAAGGTCAGAAATCCAGATTGCCTCTTTCACTACAGTGCTATTGATAATTCTGACTCGGCTCAGGAGTGGTGGGTTACCAGTCAGGGGTGAGTTCCCTCCTGAATGTGCTGAATGACTAGAGGCCCAGATCATCTCATTCAAAACCCTAACAGCAACCTCTAGCATTTACTGAGCACTTACTATACGTAAGACACCATGCTAAGCAAACAGCTTGTCCAGCTATTAAATCCAAACATTTGTGACACCATTATTTTGTATAATGTGCCAGATGGCTTAAGACAGATGCCTGGCTGGGGCCTCCACGGATCCTGTGAGAGCACGGTATGGGAATTTTATTCTAAGGATTTTAGCTATATCACCAAGTGTCTTGGCTCTCACAAAGTCCCATGTCACCCCTTCTTTCTGCCTCTTCCATGAAGACTCTATAAGGGACAGCACATGGCAGCAAGCCAAACAGGAGGAATCCAGGCCGATGAGTGCCAGATCCCAAGTCACTGAAATTACACTTCCAGTTCAAGGCCATTCTCAGGCTCCATAGGGAATTTGAGGTCAGTCTGGGCTACATGAGACCCTATATTAATTTATATATGTATGCATGAAATATATGCATATATAGTATGTATATATGTGTGTGTGTGTGTGTGTGTGT